ATGAAAATCCAGATTGAAATTAGTTTTGAAGCAAAAGTGCTTCCGATCACGTGTGACTTTCATACGGTGTGACGAATCAAACCGCTGGATTTTCAAGTGAAGCACATCTCTAGTCAAGTCATGTTCTCTTCTGCTGGTGCCAACGTTAGTCCGGTGTGAGCCTCCAATCAGCAAATGATCATACAGAACTATGTACAGTCTTGTGATGTCCCCACCCAAGTGTCAAGATGGTGATTACATTTCATTTGAGATCATTCTAGTTTAGCTGCAGCTGCTCAAGTTTTGGCAAGTTTGGTGAGTCTACGTCAGTTCAAGCTTGATGTGTTCTCTGCATGGCCAGTCGCACATGAACTGAACCTTCTTTTGCAACCGGCCCTTCAAATCCGAAGAACCCAGACCATATCTTCTGTATTGTTCAAAACATGATAAGACATGATAAAATATGATAAAACATGATAAAACATCGCATCCGGACTTTTCTTCATATTAAAACTTCTTAGTCCCCCAGAGAATTGGGCCGCAGACCAATGCAAAATAAGACGAAGAGCTGCAATGGCACTGGGGAGCCCAAGGCCTTGGCTCTTCAGCACTTTTCGGTATCTGCGCGACACCACTGATATCATCCATCAAAAAGTGCTGCAAATGCACCACACCATGCCCTGCTCTTCTCACTAAGAACCAACTTCCAAAGATCCACCTTAGGGAACCCATGACCGAACAGGTTTGGCAGGTGACATATAGCCGCTAATATAGCCTATATAGCTTGGGGGGTGCTGTGGCCTGTTTATCTGTTCCACAGCCCCCCCTATCTGGAACTATATATAAATTTTCAGGAACTATATTTAAATTCTCAGGAACTATATACAGATTCTCAGGAACTATATATAAATTCTCAGGAACTATATATAAATTCTCAGGAAATTTATTTAGAATCTCAGGAATTTCAGGGGCCATGTATAAGATATCAACATGTATGTTGTATGATTTCTGATGATTTCACGAATCTTGTCGATCTCAGTGCGACTCTGTTGCGGAGAAAACTGGGAAATATCAATTTCTCAAGCAAAGTTCTCGCAAAACTGGCCGGCCAAAGTTTTTTTCCCCCATGTGTTGCTCCAAGCCTTCTGCTGAAATTTGCCCTAAGGCTCCACATTTATAAATGGTTGATGTGACAGATCCTTGGTAGCAAAATATCTTCAACTTGTAACAACCAAGTAGTTGGTATCATTTTGCGTTCCTATCTTCTAGTTTGGTTGTGACATTCCTGCAGGCCCCGATCGACTTCATCTTGCGCGGTTTCCTTGGAGACGAGCCTGTGGGACTGGCTTTGATCGATGGCTATTTCTTGTAGGAAATCCACCTTGAGTTCCTTGACCATCAGATGCAGGGTGCCATAGCATACTGACAGTATCATTGTTACGTTCATTCATACTGTATGAATTGGGAGATTCGAGAAGTTAGTAAACCTCGCTCACCAGACACTTGGATGCTTGTGATTCATGACTAAACCTTACCGTGCTATCACCAGAATCATTTTCAGATTTTCTCTTCCTATTCCATATTGACATTGACTTATTCAGTGGGTGATCTCCCGGAAAAAGGTTAAAGTTTAGGCGTCGTCTGAGTAAGTTGATTTACTCTTGCGTCGTATGATATGGACGGACCCTGTAAAACTTCATTCGTACAGTATAAAGAGAGGTATTCGTAGCTCAGAAAGTTGCACAATTGTCAATTGCGATGAGTTACTTTCTTGGTGGCTTACAAGAGCTCAATCTGAAAACGAAATCAAAGTCCACTTGTACATCCACACATTGTATCTAGTTTTTGAGAACATCAACCTAGTCTAGTCTAGTTCAGCGGTCCAAGCCCGGGCAGCCACTGAGTTCTGCCGATTTCGGGCTGCCACAGAGCCGCCGTCGGGTCTACATTTTGATGGCTCGCAAAGATTTGGTTTCCTACCAAGTCTTCAATGACGTGGTGAAGTCCATTGAGGATGTTTTGACCCAAGTTTTTCCTGTCAGGACAGGTTGGCCGATGTGCGGGGCCATGTGGAGATCACTTCCGAGTACAAGACGGGCTACAAGTTGCATTTCCCTCCTGCAGCCAAGGACCCTGAGCAGCAAAAAGCGCGTGTGGCCTAGACACATCATCTTTTAACAGTCCCGGGCCCTGGTTTATACCTCAGCCTGACGCCGGTCCTCCTAAGTGAGACGACCTCTAAGTGTGGACTTTTTTCCCGGCAGTTTTCCGGAACACCAAAACCACTGCTGTCCTGGATTGTCAAAAAATGTCCCTTACTAAACTATATACCGGAACTATATTTAAATCCTTTGGAACTATATATAAAATCTTCGGAACTATATATAAAACCGATCTCGGTATATCCTCTCGAGGACTGGCCGCCAGGTCCGCCACAGACCTTAGGCAGACCCCAGGTCAAACGCCCACAAATTCCCTGCGTTTCGTCAGCCTGTGCTCCCAGGATGGTGTGATCAGTGCATCCAAACGACGCCAGCAATTTGTCAAGGATTGCCAGAAGAAGCTGGGGCTGGGAAGCGGGATGGAGTTCTACACTGAGTCCCATCTGGAGCCACACCAGAAGGCCATGCTTAACACCCGAGAAGCAGAGAGCCTGAATATCCAGTTTGCCTCTTTGGTTGTTACTCAGCTTTGCTTCGACAGTGGTGGGATGGGATGATACTTCCGTCTGCTCTTTCCAAGATCCCTTTTTGCCAAGCCACATTCTAACCATGTCATCTTAAGATTTTGACCAAGGGGGAAACGACTTATAACTTCTAAGTTTGTAACGGTTTCTTGATTGACTTTGTCATGTTGGTTGAAAAAAGACAGAAAAAAAAACCAAAAAATGAAAAAAAAAAATGAAAAAAACACAAACCATCTCAGTATTGGTTCAGAACCGTTCGGAACCGTTCTGAACTCTATATTTTTTTTTGGCGAAGAGTAGTTCGGAACCGTTCGGAACCGTTCTGAACTATATATAAAAACAAGTTGCAGAAGTAGTTCAAAACCGTTCGGAACCGTTCTGAACTATATATAAAACATGCAGCAAATATAGTTCGGAACCGTTCGGAACCGTTCTGAACTATATATAAGATATGCTTTAAATATAGTTCGGAACCGTTCGGAACCGTTCTGAACTATACATAAACTCTGTTTATATATAGCGCGGAACCGTTCGGAACCGTTCTGAACTATATATGCGTCCAAAACCTTTTTAGTTCCAATGAGTTCCGATTAGTTCCAAATAGTTCCAAATAGTTCCGATGTAAAAATAGTTCGGAACCGTTCCGAACCGTTCTGAACTATATATAAAACATGCAGCAAATATAGTTCGGAACCGTTCCGAACCGTTCTGAACTATATATAAGATATGTTAATAAGTAGTTCGGAACCGTTCAGAACCGTTCTGAACTATATCTTTGATTTATTTTTTATATGTAGTTCGGAACCGTTCGGAACCGTTCTGAGCTTTATTACACTGCATGTTTTTATATATAGTTCGGAACCGTTCGGAACCGTTCTGAGCTATATTACACCGTATTTTTTTATATATAGTTCGGAACCGTTCGGAACCGTTCTGAACTATCTTTGTCAGATTTTTGTTTTAGCCAATATTTTCTTGATTTTTTGAAAGTTAGTTTAGTTATGTTAAGTTATGAAATATAGGTTTTATATATAGTTCCAAAGATTTTATATATAGTTCCAAAGGTTTTATATATAGTTCCAAGCTCTTACCCCCCCTCAACACAAGTCATCAAATAAACAGGCCGCAGCACCCCCTAATATATAGCTGATATTAGCTGATTAAGTTCCTTGCTGCGTTGGGTGCAAGCTCACCTGCTGAAAGCACGAAACTGCCTCGGCAATGTGCAAGAACACAAGAGGATGCATTGATCGTCTGATCGAACCGTGCCACGCTACGGCTCAAGATCCGAAATTATTCCTATTACAATCATGTTTTTACAAATAAAGTGATAGAGTTCCTTCATAATCGGTACAGTAAATTTTCCTGACAGGGCTTCTGACATTCTAGTGTGATCTAGTGTGTTCTTCTTGGATCACCAGAACCGACATTGAGAGTGTGGCCTGATGAGCTTGAAGCTGTCATCTCTGACCGCGCCAATCAACAGTGCAGTAATGGAGCGGTCAATAGATGGACCAAACAAGGCTTCAGAACAGTGTCGTCTTGTCCTCCCATTGTCTTTCATGTTCTTTCACTATGCAACTTACTGTGACTTTTTGTACATAATTTTTCACTTGATGTTGATAAATGTTGCGTCAGTAAATCTTGATCGGTGTTCAAAATAGGATCTTTCATGATTGGAAGGGTCTGTGAAGTGTGAACTCATCTTACGTGATTCAGCAGTGAAAGAATGTTATGTGCTCCTGTGCTTCTCTGTATGCAAATCTGCCTGTACTGCCTTCCAGCAATAGTGGAGGCTACCAGCTTGTTGTCAGCCATGAATTCAAACCAAGGCAGGAATGCGAGCACAATTGCGAGGCGCAAAAAAAATACCGTCAGCTTTTGGCACGGCAAGACTGGAGGGGCTGAACATCAAGCTGTAGAACTAGAAGGAAAAGGTGTTCAACTTCAACATAGAGACTTGTATTCAAAGTCTTGCCACAATCTCGTTGCTCGTTGGCACTAGCACTGTAATCGTCTGTATCAAGTTAGCATCATGAACAATGGAATCATGGTCAAGTTTAATAAGTGAGTGTTCAAGCCTGCTGGCAAATAGCCAGGGCACATCTGATTGTCAAGTCGATATCCAGGGGCATATGCACAAAATAAGCTGAAAACACGCTCCGCACTTCGGGAATCAATGTAGACAGGAGATAGGGCGCCGCAACCAGGTGCTGGTTCAGAACATGGTTGGCAAAGAACACATAATCTCAGTCATCCAGCAACTTGAGAAGGTCAAAAACCCTGTCCAAAGAGTGAGCACCATGGCAATGGCAAAGCGCATGTGCAAGCTCGTTTTTCAACGATCAATTACAAATCCTCTCGAGCACCATCGACCACCACAGACTTAATGGAAGCCAACGTTTCAAGCATGTGAGTAATGGCTATAAGACACATGGCCGTGTCATCAACCCGCAATGTCTTGCGGTGTTCCAACTGGAGCTGATCATCATCCCTGTAAAAACCACCCAACAGGCCCAACAGGTCAGCCGGCTTTCGAATGGGGCCTCGAATGGGGCCTGGATTGGATGGTTGGATCTGGTAGCGAGTGATATCTTTTTCCATCAGCTGAAGTACCACTTGAATCACTTCGGCATCTTTCAAGATGGCTGCCAAGGATGCCAAGCCCTGTAAAGGCCCACAGGTGTATCGAGAACCGCCAATTCTAGCCAGAATGCCCTTGGATATTCGATCATTCGGGCCGTCCGTAAGATGAACCTGCGATCTACCTGAGTTGGCTTGCAAAGAGTGAATACAAGTGTTTTGTTTGACACAACCCCGCTACAGGATGCTACAGGAAGGTCTTGGAATCTAATTGCCTCCACATGCAGCGTACCAAAGGAATTAAAGGAATCATGGAGTGCTCAAAATCCCTGAAACTTGCGAGCAAGGTGCCCAGAAAACGGTCCACGTGTTCCACAGCCCACTGTTTCAGCTTCACCCTCTCCTGGGCGATAGGAAACAAGCTTCAATGGCTGGTGAGGTTGGGAGTCCTTGAGCAACTAAACCTTGGAAACATGAGTTGAAAGAAGTCCGACAATACTATTCAACTCGAAATCGCCAGGTGGCCTTTTTCTTCTTTGTCGAGAACCATCTGACAGCAAGCGCCCTTGCAGAAGCGAAGGACCAGTGCTCTTTGTTCTCTTCCCAAGTGTCCCGGAGAAAAATCTCAAAACGCTGTAGGTACCTTGGTACGGATAAAATCTCAACCTGAAAGCTTTGAGTGGAACAGAGGTTGCAGAAAATTGAAATTCACCTGGACCATGGGTGTTTCTATTAGCTTTCTCAGTTTACGTTTGCATAAAGAAAATCATGCACTAGTATGTGGCCAGGTATGACATAACCTTCAACGGGGGTATCGCTATTTGGGAAGGTTCCATCGCTTGCAGTAGCTCATGTTTGTGTCATTTCTGAAAAGCCATGTGGCCATGTCCGTTCCCTGACACGTTTGGTCAATTGATGTTACAGGGTCCAAGGCACTCTTCAAGGCCCTGGTGGAAGGATGAGTCCTTTCCAATGTGAAGAGCAGTCACCGCCAAGGATTCCCAGGTCATTGCTGAGCGATGAAAGGAAGTGAAGGATTTTTTCCACATGTCTTCTGGGTAAATGGTGCTCAAGCCCAGAAACCACGACTCCTGACATTTCAGGCCGCTGTTTCTAGTGCAAAGCGATGGATTCTGAGTTCAATGCCAAAGCCTGGCTGAAACTAGTCGGGCAAACATTGCTTTAGTAACTTTAGTATACTACTAGTGTTACTACTAGCATCTGCTAAAAGTTTCACCCGGAAAGTTGGGACGCTTCAAGTCTGAACTCAGCGATTAGATTTGAACATCTTCCACAAGAAATATCAAGAAATATCAAGAAATGCGTTCATTGAAATATCTAAGATTTTCTAAGAATAGTCTTTCATTGAAAAGCAAACAAGTTGCTCTGACAAAAACCCAGATTCCGCGTCATCCAAGTGCTGCTTCTGACCTAAAGCTTGGCCACATCGCACCGCTGCCATCAGCATACTTGCTTGAATGGCTGGACTAGCATCCATATCCCCAGGATCCCCGTCAGGTTCTTTCCGAACAAGAAATATTGAAGCTCCCGACATCTTTTGAAGCTTCATGGCCAACTCTGGAATCTCTGGGCTTCGCAGTAAATGCCCTAAGTGCTTCTCTGCAATCTCCTTGCTATCAGCGGTCATGGGCACATCACACAGTGCGGTCAAGGCCTGCAATTGACGAAGAACGCAGTTCTCTACAGAATCTCTTGAGGTCGCTATGCCCAAACAATCATGGGTCCACTTGGCTGCTTTGGCTTTGCTTCCTTTTCCATACTCCAACTCATACCCACTGAAGAGATTGGTGGTAAGCGAAAATCGCTTTGACAAATGGCGTGCTGCCAGGGTTGCAGAAGTGTTCAGCAACTGTTCGATCCGTTCTTTGTATGATGCTTCCAGCGCTGCCGGAGCTTGCTTTGCAGCTGCAACAAGTAAGAACGCTGAAAGTGTCCATGGCAATGAAAGAAGATTCATGAGAACTGTAACTGTAAACAAACTTGTTGACATTTGACAGTGGTTTTGGACGACCGTGATACGAGTACAAGCTACAAGCATGTACAAGCTCTGTCTCAGCAACAAAAAACGACTCGATGTCGTGGCGCTTGAGATTAGTACACAAAAAACCTTTGCAAGTGTTTGGATATTGCATGATATTGCTTTTATTTGAGCAAATTTTAGCTGATCAAAACTCCCTGCTGGGAATGGGCACGCAGGCATGTGAACTTGCGTTCCATTGGCAATTCTCAAGCCGAAAAGCTAGTCGTGCCCAAAAGTGGCTCCTTGCCAACAAACAGGTTACTTCCGGTCAACCCGACATCAACTTACCTGAATGGTAGTGATTGAAATCGATATCCTATTTCGTGCAATGCGTTTCTCTTCACTTGAAGAAAAGGATCCCACGATAGACCGGGGTCCCCTTTACACTATCGCTAACAGCAGGATTGAGAGAAAAATTATCCAATGGAGCGCAGACTGAATCATTTCTAGGTCAAACGTGCCCTGTGACAGCACGACTGATTATCCAAAAGATATCTGATTTCCTGACACTGTTGGTCACGGAAATCCTGCTGGCATGATGCGTTTGCTCTTGCAGCAGGTCCTAGACCTGAACTCCCGCAACTGTCGCCAGCCACAAACACTGTACTGCAACACTGCCTTAATGCCGTTAATTTCATACCTCGGTGGGTGTGTTCATCATTCAACAGAATTAATCCTTTGAATCCAGAGACCCATAGCTAATTCAGCAATATTCACGTTTGTGAAGACGAAATCGACCTGTCTCTATATTGTCAGTATCTAAGGCTTGCAAGTAACACATTGACCAGTAATGCCAATAAAGAACCAAGATCAAGTGGAAACGCCATGACAGGCTCATCTTCTACGTCGCACGGAAGCCTGACAGCAAAGGTAGTCTGGTGGCCTTTTGAACATGGCTTCACTCCTGGTTGTGTATCTGAAATTTTGAAAAAATGGCATGGACATGCATAGACTGGAGAATGCACACTTCCATTCAAAGAAGGGTTACAACCTGCATGAACAGATTTGGGAAGCGGGAAGCTACGGCTTAGATGTTCTGGCTTTTAAGATGCCAACGAATTCAACAGGCCTTCCCTCAAGTCACATAGGTCACTCGTCCTGCCTGGAACTCAAGGAAGCGGGTCAGGTGCTGAGCCGTCAGAGCTGAAGCCACCTGGTCGGGTAAGCTGCAGATAGCTGCAGATAGCTGCAACGATTGTATTTTGATGTATTTTGATGTATATTGTGAATCCATGTGCTGGTGCCGGCGTGGAAACCATTACTATTAAGATCCATGCATTATCATGTCTGTTTATTTTATGAACTCAAAAGAGGCTCCACCTACTACGATCAAAAGGATTCCATCATCAGAAGGGTTGGGTTTAAAGAGACATCATTCTTGAGAATACTGCAGTAGAATTGTATCACATCGGATTGTCTACTATGACTATGATGGCTATTAGTGGAACCATCATCACTCAAGTATGGGCACGGGACGCAGAGTCCAAGATGTCAATGAAACCAGTCCTATGATATCCTATGGAATCACATGTTCATGTCAACCCTCATTTGAGCCCAGTTTCTGATTTCCACACCAATCATAAATTTGGCATGACTTCTCTTGAACACGGAAAAGAAGCAACATATTTCCCTGGAACCTTTTTTCGAAACCATTTACCCCATTCTTGGTGGTGATATTCCCATCTTTGTGGTCGAAATTCCAATCGTTCTTCGATTCATTTGCATTTTCCTGACATTTGAATATTGTATAAATACAGTATTCTCAATATATACTCAATATACCAAATGGGGTATTCCATTCATCTATCCATAAATATCGGATAATATCGGTATGTTGTATAACTGGTTTGTCAAAAATGAGGCTGTTCAGGTCACCAATTTTGCCCTGTTCTGTGCCTCTGCAGTGGAGAAATCTTCGCCCGAGGCGTTTGAAGCCAGCAGTCGGCACCTTTGCAGCGTCAATGAGGATCACGGAGGTCTCCCCCCGTTTTGGACAAACCATGTTGACATGGTATGCCTGGTATGGTATTGCTTGGTCAATTCTGATTTCCGCGGTGGGATAAATGATGATAAATGTCACAGGTAAACACTCAGTGAGAATATCTCTCTACTTATATATATATAGGTGAGTGCAAAGGCAGAATCAACAATTGTAGCCAATGCGGAGTCATGGGGAAAACGGATTGCAATCCAATTGGAAGATTTCCACAACGTGTCTTCAAGACTGTGAACGCTACCATCCCACTGTACCCCATTTGCTCCAGGTGCAGCACATCTCGCAGTACCACCGGCACAAGTCTGACCTTCCCAGGGTCGAGAAGAGACACGGTGGGAGCTCCAATGAAGAGCCGCATTACTGTTCTCAATACCGACTCATTTCATGAGGTGCTTTCGTGGAAACTGTGTTTGCAGTACCATAAGAATTGAGAACCAAAGATGACATGATCGAAGAAAAACATCTCTGGAACCTCACCAACTCCATGATGCTCCTGGCCTACGAACTTCATGTTGAGGAAGATTGAAGCAAATGAGGCCATGCCTAGGTGAACACAGAATGCAAAGGGGAAAGCACATGCGTGGCCATCGACATGCCATCGACATCTTTGATGAATTAAACGTCAGTGTCTTGGCTTACAAACAAGCCGTGCATCTGTACATGATGTTGACAAACTGGATAAGACTATAGACTATAATATACTATAACTATATATATGATACTGTAAATTCCTCTATTCGAAAAAGTGGTTCAAAATCAGATGCTTCTATAGTTCTGATGGACACAGCCCGCCCCGACCATGGCTTTGCCAACATGAGATCCGCATTGTCTGCACTGAGACTGCAACACATTGCGACCTCGACCTTACCGTATCGGCTTGGGGGCACCATTGTGTCTTGCAACATTTAGAGGCCGTTGTGATCTTGGGTTAATGTGATCAACATGTCATCAATATGTCATCAATATATATCAAATTATATCAATAGGTCATCAATATGTCATCAATATCTCATCAATATGTCATCAATTGCAATGGCTGCAGTCACCCTCTTGGTGACCCCTTGAGGCAGGTGCCAATGCTTGGGCCAACTGCTGCAGCCACACTAGCAACTGGAACCTCAGGTCATCGAAGGTATCCCATAGGTATCCCATAGGTATCCCATAGGTATCCCATAGGTATCCCATAGGTATCCCATGAATTCCCACGGTATCCCTGGATGGTTCTGCCATGTGTCACCGGGCCTGGAAGAATTGTGCCAAGGGGACCAAGACCGAATCCGCAAAAGAGGCAGCTCTCTGTTTCAGGCCTGGCGAGAAGCAACAGACAGATCCAGACAGCGCATCTATCGAAAACACATTGAAGATTACATTGTCTGATGTATGCTGCATACAGCATATTCAAAATATGCTCAAATTGATCGAGTCATATCATGTCATATCATGTCATATCAGTGTTATTGGATAGTAAACCATCCCAATCAACATGATCTAAGGTTTAATATAGGCCTTTACTATATGTACGATATAAACCACAGTAGTTAAACCATATATGGCCCACTGCTCTGCGCCTTCGGATGGCAAAAAGCTGCCACGCGGCACTGATGCCTCGGCGTGTATGCACTACTCATTTTCCGTCATTTTCCAGTATAATCACTGTTCATATAACATTTGACATTTTATGACTGTATAATACTGTATACCGTATTTTATAATTGGAAGATCTTGGAATATATCATATATCTGTATACTGATGTATACTGTATATAGGAATAGTCTGTTGGGTTTGGCCATGTCGTGGAGTATCTTCCATGACTTGTGCAGTCCTTCGGAAAGCAGGAGGAACAAGGTCAGGACGATGGAATATACACTGCATCATACATTCGCTTCCAAGAACAATGGTCCCAAGTTGCAAACTAAATTTGTACTGGGCTGACAAAAAGGAATCGCGTGATTGCCCAACCGCAGACTTCATTAATCCAGGATAAGCCAGGTGTAATAAGCGCGACTTCAACTTCAACCAGCTTTTTTAAACATCCATTTAATTTAACCTATGCAAACAGAGCTTCACCTCCAGTGTCTAAGATGATCCAAGTCCCCGAACTTGTCGGCCTGCTAAGGAAAGCCCCTCAGCTTGAAGAGCCTCAAAGCGGAAACGACCAATTCCGACAGTTGGAAACCCATGTGAATTTCAAATGGGTAACAACTTTTTTAATTCTTGATGTCTTTTGTTTAGTTCTTATTTGTTTTTCCGTTCAGTATTGGTATTTGCGGCATTATCGGAGCTAAAATGTCCAATTTGGACGGCATTTGCAGCATTTTGGATCTTGAATCTCTCTTTTTGCAGCACATTTGCTGCATTCCGGATCATTCCGGAGTTAGATGCTGTACTTTATACTTTGCGCTGAATTTTCTGCAGCATATTTAAGCTGAAACCTCTTAATCATATGCATTGTATTTGCAGGAGTTTGGAGTTTGAATCTGCATTTTGCATTTTATTTGCAGCATTTTGGAGCTTGAATCTCTCGTGTGCAGAGTTGTAGCATGTCGGAGCCGGCGTCGAACAGAGTAGCGCGTACAAGAATTTAATTTGATTTATACAATTGCCCTTGTGAGAAACCTTCAATCCCTCAATTGCCCTTGTTCGAAGCCGAAATACTAGAAGCCAAAAATCAAAACATCAGAAGTAGGAAAAAGCCAAGAAATCAAAAGCTACAAAAGCCAAGAAGCCAAAGGCTACAAATGCCAAGAAACCCAGAAAGCCAAAGATACGGAAGCAAGCCCGAGGCTGGAAACAGACAAAAAACAAGCAACCAATACCCCTCCAGGCTAAACTCCGCTTGATGGTTAACGAAACAAAGCAAATCAGTCTAAGCGTCCTAGATGATACCGGTTGTTTCCGCACAAAACACGGAAGTGAATCAAAATGCAGCTGCTCATTTCA